TAAATGAAAAAAATGTGCATTTCATTAAATGCTAATATCTGAGAGGAGCTCTGCAGACTCTCTCTGATTGTGTCTCTGCTCACAAATAGATAGCTCCCTGATTTTTGAGAAAAATACAGGAGTTATTGCAAGGATACATGAAGTATTCCAGTGCAAAGCCCCCTGAATCCAGATGTCAGATGTTTTATTATTAAAACTCTGAAATATTCAGTCCACTCTTTGCAGTTCTCAGAGGCTCAAAGACTGAGAGGAAGAGAGAGACGGGACAGACTAGAGTCATTCATAATGCCAGATACAACAGACATACATCTTAACTAACACCAATAGACATTAACACTCTACGGAACTCTATGATTCACAAATAAAAATGTTTACATCAATGAAATTCCTTATGTCTCTTGAAATACATTACATTTTAAAAATCTTTTCGTCTTCATTTCATGAGAGCCAGACAGGAAATAAGGGAGGAGAGGGGGGATGAGTTCCCTAGCTTTCCGGACATTGCTGCAATGTGGTATGCATCTTACATCACTACTGCCTTACACATCACTTTAAAGATTGCAGAACATCCAACTGTAAAAATTCCAGCAGGTTGGATGTTATTATCCTAGTTGTAGTACATATATAGTATAATATATATATTATATTATATTCACCACTGTCATTGTAAAAAAAGTGAATGCAAGAATAAGACATGAACATACATCTACAGTTTATTCTGACACAGTCTCACATTCATACTCACTCGAGGACTACTATGTGTTTAATCCGTGACTGAAAATAGTCCCAAACAAACTCACTATTTACACCTGTTTGAGTAACTTTTGTTACAAACTACAGAGCCCAGCTGTTTTGGGAAATTAACAAGCCTTATTGTGAAAGAGTCAAAGATCACTGTGGTCATAAGTTTGTACAGAGGTGCAGTGGTTTGCACTGCCGCCTCGCATAAGAAGTTTCTGGGTTCAAACTGGCCGGCTAGCTGGGGCCTTTGTGCCTATGTGGAGTTTCTCCCTGTGCCTGCGTGGCTTTTCTACTGGTGCTCCGGTTTTCTCCCACAGTCTAAAGACATGTAGGTTGGGTTGACTGGTAACCCTTAAGTTGCCCCTGGATGTGAATGTGAGTCAGAATGGCTATCTCTGTAAAAGTGTCATCCCTGTGATGAACTGGCGACCTGTCCAGCCCCCCCCCCCTCCAAAAAAGGGAAGCAGATAAAGCTATAGGATGGATGGATATTCATTTAGGCTTCCATATAACTGCTTTTGAGAGCTGCATTAATATTGTTAAAAAGCCTTTTCAGCTTGTATTTCTTTGTCTGATTAGGCTCTATTTTAAAGCTGTTCCAGCTAAGCTCTCACAGATGTGATCCCAACAGTGAAGTTGGTAAATATAGTGTTATGCCCATCTAAATGTAGAGAGCCATGTGCAGTGTCAATCAACTGCACACGATATGCTCAAACTGTGTAAAATCCTCCAACTCAAGTGATTTTCATACTTTTACTGAAGTTGTGTCATGTTCATTGCATCAAATTGTTCATAAAAGGCAGGCCAGCTATGAGCTACTGTGTGTCAGTTAGCATCATGAAGCATCAATACTTTTAATACATTTAAAATTAGAAAAAATAAATCGCAGCCATTTACAAAAATAACATTTAAAAACAACTTTTTCTAGATATGAAGATTGCATAAGGCCTTGAATGAAACAGGAAAGAACTGTGGTTTTGTGTGTGTGTGTGTGTGTGTGTGTGTGTGTGTGTGTGTGTGTGTGTGTATCTGCACTGCATCGTAGCTGTGTTTTTAAAAGCCTAATGTTTCCTGACATCTCACAGTTAAAGTATCATAGAGGCAGAATGATCGCCCCTGGCTAGCGGGAAAGAGACTGCCTGGGGCCTTTTGCTCTGGGCAAGAGTGTGTGTGTGTGTGTGTGTGTGTGTGTGTGTGTGTGGTGAAACAGCCTTTCAACATGCAATATTCTCTGTGTCATCAGCTTAAACAGCTAAACAGGGTGTTCAAGGGAGAGAAGAGGAGGAAGACAGGAGGAGGGATGGTAAAGAGAGACAGAGAAGAGATGGAGATGGAGGAAGAAAGCTCTCATGGCAACACACAGCACTGGAGCCTGGCTCTGCGCCGGACTCCTCTTTTAATGAAGGAGGAAATGAAGACGAGGGATGAAGGAACAAGAAGAAAGAGGAGGAAAATCCTTGTGATAAGTCGACTCTTATTATCTCATTATGCTGCCCTCTCTTTTTCCCCTCTCACACTCTGTCTTTCTTTGAGCATGTGTGTGTGTGTGTGTGTGTGTGTGTGTGTGTGTGTGTGTGTGTGTGTGTGTGTGCTCCAAAGTGTGCTGCAAACTCCATTAGCAGCTACGCCGAGAGAGTACGTTGTGGTGTTAAAACTCGTTTGTTGTCGTTCCTGAAATAATCAAGCGGACTTATAACATTCAGTATTAAATTATTCAAGATTCAGAAGTTTGAGCAAATTGCGGCTTATTTCTCCTGTTTTAAGTGCAGGCAGTGCGGTAACGATGTGCACCGCCAGGCCTGAAACTAGCTATTGTAGGTCTGGACTTGGAGGTCTGAGCTCCTCTTATTAGCACTCCTCTATTCCCCCTTTAGTGTTCTTTAAAGTTTAAGATCACTAATTAACACCAGACCTGAGCTCCACTGGTGTTATTCTACGGATTATCACAATGCAATTAGTGCTAAGAAATCAGGCTCTTTGATATTCTTAATGTCAATGTAGGTAAAAGCTGACAGTGTGGCTAATAGAAACACAAAGCAATACCTTGCAGATGTATTATTAGGACACAGCTGCAGTGGTTTTTTGGCAAGGGAGGAAGGGAGGGTCAGGGTACAGTAGTGTATAATGGTGTCTAGTGTGAGTCCACACAACAGATGAAGTCATTTCACACTCTCTGTGAATGAAATGAGAGCCCGGCGATACCATCTCCCCTCACGCCCGCGCTCTGCCAGCAGAGCTTTTGATCTTCCCGAGAGGCGCTGAAATGATCTTCTGTCCGAGTTTTTTACAGTGAATCAGTGCCGGACAATTCTCTCCCTCTGTCCCCATTTTCTGTCTCGTTCTAAAAAGCCGCTGAGCCAAGAGTTCAAAGCTGGAGCCCAGATGAGATGAGCACAACTCGCGAGGAATTACATTAGTGCCTGACTGTCCCGTGTGCAGGCACGCAATACATCAGAAAGAGAAGAGAATATTTTCATGTCTTGAAGATGACCATGTAGTGCTGAGAGAGTGTTACTGCAACACTTAAAATCCTGTAGCATTAACCTGCATTCTTGCCAACTGGATTGTGCACAGGTGGAGCAAAAATAAATCTTTGCAGGTGAACAGAGACACTTTTGACCACATTGACATAAAAGTGCAAGCACCTTCTGTTTCTGTTACTCATACAGCAACAACAGAAACTCCAAGGAAAAAACAAATAAAAAGGCAGCAGAGAAGAGTTAATAACAGATACATTTTAATGTATCTGTCTAAATTTAATTCTGCCATGAGCATCTGTTAGAAAACATTTTCACACAGAAGGGGACCAATCAAAACTTTCAAAGCACCATGTCCAGGGTATTCCAGGAATAATTTACCAATTCTTTCAGCAATTTCGCGTCACCGGGGACAGATTATGTTACAGTTAGCTACAATTAAGGTGTGTTCAGACAATGAATGACAGAAAGACAGAATGAGCAAATTTTCTCCTCCCTTTATTTGCACAAATTTGACTTCTGGAGACTTTCTACAGTCCAAGTTTATTTGTCTCAAACAACCAATGTCCCAACTGTACAGATGTTAGCTTTAGATAGCAATATGCATCAGTGCATCCCTGTGTGTGGAGTGTGCCTGTGAGTTGAAAACACCTCAAACTCTGACCAATCTCTGAACCTACCAGGAACTTCAGTTCTTTCTGTTCCTCAGATCACTCTCCTTTCTTTCTTGTCTCCGTAATTTTATTAATTTATGTTCAATTTGCGCATTTAAAAGTTTTTGAAATGCTGAAAAATTCAAGTGCCTTAAGAAAAAAAGTGCACTGGAAACAGACTTTGTGAATAAATCATGACGTACATGAAGCATGTGACAAACACTCGCTGAAGCTTCCAGGCAGACGAAAAATCCTCAAATTAATACATGAAACAACCATAATTGCCACATTTCCATTATGTTTTCGATATTGTTTTTCACCATTTGAGGTTTTACTAGCGTTCGCTTAATTACGTCATCTTGTTGCGCCTTCTTCTTCTGCAATGGTTTAATGGTACCCAACTGGAAGCTGGAGCGCCACCAGCTGTTTATCCTGACAAACCAGCTCCTAATAATAGCATAACAGTAGTGGACATGTTTTTTAGCTGATTTTCCTGAAATTTGGATACATTTGGATAGAAATCTGGCTAATCAAAGAGAAGGGAAAATTCCATGTCTTTTAAAAAGTACGACATGCACACACACACACACACACACACACACACGCACACACACACACTTCTTGTGTTCATGTGGAGCGAAAGCAACATGCAGGGAGGGAGAGTTGAGCCATGAATCATGACTATTATCATTAGGTTAAGCACCAACCAACCCCAAAGGCAGTGAAAGCTTCTGTGGAGAAACGGCACTCTAAATGAGCCTGATTATTATTATTGTCCTCCAAATGAGAGTGATTAGTATTGATGTCTAAATGAGCGCTGAGGTTATTATTGCCCTGATTATTATTATTATTATTATTTTTGTGGCGGCGTTATGAGAAGCAGGCAGCCTCGCTCATCTTCGCTTCATTCACTTTTAATTCCACAGGCTGCCTCTTTTACCGACAGCAGCGCCACATGGTCACTGTGACACACACACATGCATACAAAACTAATAGAAAAACCTGCAGATTACACATAACATGTTTACACACTGGCATATATGCAAAAAGTTGCATTCTTAGGTACATATGCACAAATACACGCACACACACTCTTGTACAGATAGACTCCCCTACATAAAGACAAACATTTGCACACAAAAACCCAATTTAATGCAGAGCAAATTCACACAGATATTCACCAAAATACATGCATGAACTCCACACTAACTTGAAGGAAGGTGGCAAAGCAGCTATGTCTGATGGAGCAGATGGAGGCACTTCCTTGCCTTCCCTGAAACAGAATAAATAAATCATCATTACATCTGGACCGATAACGGATCTGAGGAACCAGCTGAAAAGGAACATCGCACATATTAATTCAGTTAACATGATCCATGTGAGGGGCCTGTAATCCCCACCGTGTTGTTTTTGGAGCTAATCGCTGAAGCTAATCGGTAAGTAAACACGGCTGCTTTAGTCTTTTTCAGTACTGTATACAATGTAATGTAATGTCGTTCTAAGCTGTTGTTGTATAAACGTAATGAAGATGACTGAAATATTCTAAATTTTGCTTCTTTTTCTGCCTAATGACTCATCTTAAATGGTGAGTTAGGAGCTGGGTTTAGAGTTTGGATTAGAGGTAGGCCTGTCTGTGTACACATATGTGAATGTGCGTGTTTGTCCATGTATGTGTGCAATGTGTGTGTGTGTGTACGTTGGTGTCAGGACAGCTGTCAGATCACTTTACTGATTGGCCAATATGACAGGCATCAAAAAGCGCCATGGGATGAGAAAGGAGGAGGGGGCTGCCCAGCTTTCAATCACTGACAGTCACAAGTCCAGCTCAGCCAACAAAGCATCACCTGCACCCCCCCTCCACTCCACACACACACACACACACAACATTTAAAGCCCACATCTACAAATATAATCCATAAATCTTCATGCATACATCCTGAAACACACAATGCAACAATCACTTAAAAAGGCCACCTTCTACTTCTTTGCACACACATTGACTGATACACAAACACACACGCAGACACACACACAGTCGTCAGTCTTAACACAGACAGGCATTCAGTTTGACAGAGTAATTATGACGTCCCACTCTGAAGGAGCCGAAGGGCTGAAAGGTGAGAGTTATTGATCCCACACAGGAGGAAATTTATCAATGTCCAAACACTCAGGTCTGACAGCAACCCAATCCAGTTTGAGCGCAATGTTCAAACTGTTCAGGTCGGCTACAGAAAACACTCCTCTGCTCACTTCAGAGGAGGAGCAGCCAACTGGGATGGAGGCTGGGTGATGGGTTGGAGGGGTCAGAGAGTAAAATCAGATCACCAGACATTGTTTTACAAGAGTTACTTTGTGCTTTTATTGTTTTGGTCAACAAGTCTTCCAAATTTTTCTGTGCCTTCCAAACCTGTTACAAATCACAGTTGAACAATACATCTGTTTTATGATTTGACAATGGTCTAGTTAAGGTTTGGTCAGGTTTAGGCACAAAAACTTGGACAGGTTTAGAAAGAGATCATGATTTGGGATAAAGAAGTAGGAATACTTATGCTGGCCCCACACTAAAAGGATAATTGGACAGATTTTGAGTCCTATTCGCACCTCCCGACAATTGCATGGGTGCTCTCGATTTGAGGCTGGTCTGAATGTTACCTCCCTGATGTCTAATCTCAAATATCAGTATTATATGATATTTATTATATGATATTTACGACTTGAAATTCTATAGTGTGAAAGAAACAGCAATGGAACACTAAGAAAAAACTCGCAATAGCCAATGAGAGCGAGCTGACCAGGAAGCGTCACCAAACAGATGTGTACTTGCTCCCGCTGCAGATTTCGTACAGATTCTGTTTTCTCAGCCATGACTTCATCCACCCTTTTTTCTATTTTTTTTTGTTTTTCTGTGCAAAACATGCCACACACAAGTGCAACCAGCTGACAACAACGGTCCGCCTCTTTATTTGTTAATTTCTGAAGACACGTTTGATCTTCTGTGAGATCCCAAGTCCCTGACATCGCCACTCTAAAATCATTTAGTAAAGTGTGTGGTCCTGCATCATGACTTAGTCGTCTGGTGTGTGTGTTCTAACAATTAAAATATTAAAAATCGGTTATATCTGTTGTTATGTCTGCGGTCTCCCATGTTTTAAAATCAGCTTGCACCAGGCCATGGACTTCGTTGCTCTTGCCATCACCTGACTTCCTCCCTTGCCACCATCATGATTACTACGGCTGCTGGATTGTCTTTTGCTTAGACTAATATCAGTGCAGGATTATTACTATAGAAGAAGACCTGGTACCTCATCTAGTCTCATTTTTGATGAGAAAATGCATCAGAAACAGCAGCTTAAGGTTCAGTTCACAGTTTGAGCACTGGAACACCAAATATTAAGTAAAAGCTTCTTTATCAGTCGTGTCTCATTGACCACTTCAGGTTCCAGTTAATGTATATATTTTAATGCCTATAATAACTGAAATTAATGCGAGGGAGTATAGTTGTTTTTATGGATTTGGATTGTCAGATATGGAGTTTAATCATAGCACAATCCACCCAACCTCACCTTATTGTGTTGACATATTTCAGATCTGGCCCCTACATTTTAGTCAGTATTTTAAGCTCAAAAAGTGGGATTTTTGCCATTATATGTAAATTATCAAGGGAGTGATGTTTATGTTATTACATTAATCTAAAATCATGTGTTTCCTCTCAGTGTGTTGCCCACAGACTGAGCTCTGAGGCTTGTTGTAAGTGGTGTTGTACTGAAAGCTTGTATCAAAATATTTAGACTGCTTTCAGACACTCCCTGCACTTGTGTTGGTTTGAGTCAGTAACATGGATCTTTAACTGACAGAAGTAGGCATTAAAGTGTGGCTTACCACAGCTTGAGAAGCAAAGATTTTGATATCAAGCTTGTAACAGACTGGAATTCTTACTACTGTTAGGCTGGGTTTTCGGACTCGAGTACAGTACTCAGACTCAGAGACGGGGGTTCGCGAATCGAAGCAAGGTTTTAGTTACAATATGCTAAATGTGCAAGGCTGAGTTCAGAGAGACGGGGGGGTCCAGGTCAGCACTAGGCTGGATGACTGGAAACGTGAGTCTATGATCTGGGGCTGACTGGAGGCAAGGATCCAGTATAAGAAGCAGAGCATAATGAGGCTGATGGCTGGCAGCTGGTAACGGGCTCCTGAACACCTGACTCCACTCCTGTAAAAAAGGCTGAGGAAGAGAGAGACACACACACACAGAAACCCCTACCCAGGAACAGGGGACCTAACAACTACAGGAATACTGTCTCCTAGTTTAGATAGTGAAACATAAAACTAGGGAGCAAATGTTGCCTCACTGAAACCAGAGACACACAAGCAGAGGGCCAATGTTTAAGAAACATTTGATATAAATGTAAATGTGACCAGATTAGTTAAAAACTAACTAACCCAGATGGGTTAAAAACTTCCCAGTGTTATGGTGTTGCTAATAGGTTTTCTTAGTCTGCAAATTCTTTGTGGATGATGGCCCAGTTGAAGAACCTCTACATGTTTTCACAATTTTTGTGGTCTAACAACGTGCATAACTTCATGTCCAGGTTCCATGTTCTGTTCCAGAAGTTAGAAACATGAAATCTGATCCCATAAAAGAAAACCTAATTCAATATAACATTTTAATTAATTTCAATTCCTACAACTCAAACCTTACAACATAACTTCATTCAGTATTCATCTTTGTCTAGAAAGGGATGGCAAGATTTTAACGTGCTTTTGTTTATTACCATGATATATTTAATATTGTATAGTACAGGTTTTAAGCAGTTAAGCTGCGAACTATAAAAAAGGGCTGAACAGCATAGGCTAGATGTTTAAGAATGCAGATATTACACTTAAATAAGATGGAAAGATGCCAAGTTGAGTGAGTGTGGGTATATCGTGCATTAGAGTGTTACAGTTAAAATGGCATACAATATGCATGCTGATATGCTGGAAAAATATTATATTTAATAGCTGTAGTTTTCTAAATGCTGAAAGATCATGTGATATGATGTGAAAGATACTGAACAGCTTCTATATCTTAGAATATGGACAGTAATATGGATATGGCTAGTAAACCCCTAGGAACACCTTTTCAGGTTTTTGCAAGTGAGAAAATAACTTTATTCATCTTGATCACAATAATTTTCAGTATGGTAATTAACACCATTAAAGCAATGCTATGATGTGGAATCAGTCGGTTGTTTGAATGTTTTGTGCTGCAGATGAATGCTGGTGTAAAGGATTACCTTTTCCATTTTTTGAACTCTGTAAACATTAGAAAATGGCTACACTGTTTTAGTGATGATTGTCATTGTATTATAATAATAACATTCTTCATTCATTCATTTGACCTAGGTACTTGTTATTTCGTATGCTATATGCATGTAGATGAGACGTGATATATTTACACACCACCTCAGAAAGGATTCAAAATGGACTATTTACTTCCTTGAAACCATTTTAGCAATTTTCTGGATCATAAAGAAACAGATCATACCTTCCATTTATAGTAGTTTGGTCAATATTTCTGTCATATGACTGCTTTCAAAATGAGTTTGTCATCAGAAAGGCCCGTCAAGTTAAACGTCAGCAAAAAAGTGTGGTGAAAATACATCCATTAGGGGCTGGTGTGTGTGTGTGTGTGTGTGTGTGTGTGAACCTTCTTTTTAAAGTTTAGACTCTACACACCACAAGGGGAAAACACATAGTGCTCTTTGTATGCATGTCTGTATGTGTCCGTGTGTGTTATTTGTCTTCACACTCATCAACTCCACCATCATACTAACCGAGCACCTGTGGACATCTGCCTACAGCCTGAGGTGATGTCCACACACCTTCATTTTTCTCAGACAAAGAGTGGAATCATTTCTCCTCGCACAGACCTCTGCATCATTATTGACACAGAATTATTGATCAGGACCTCGGCCAGTAAATTACAATCTATTAGTCAGACCCTTTCCCCCTGTTTTGAAAGGACCAAAGAGCGAAAGGTTGATAGAGTGAGATTATGGAGACTTTATGTTGCTGACTGGTATTATATATATTCTGGAAATTCTGTACTGTTAAGGACATTTATTAGGTGAATGCAGATTAAACAGCAGACAAACACACTCTCGCCAAGCCCATTCCTCAAGGTGCTGCTGCCACTGAATCAACATTAGTTCAAGGAAGCCAGGTGAAATCTACAACATTGAAGTTAGAGAGCACACCAGCTGCCTCACTTAATTTTTTTCTTTCTATTTTTTTTTTTTGATGTTTTGCCCAAGGCCTATCCTACTAAAGAGAAGTAATTTGGCTTATCTTATCCCAGAGACCTAGCAGCTGCTTTTTATTCTTTTTTTGTGTGGTCTTTTTTCTCATTTAGTCCAACAAAGATTGTCCTCATAGATTGACCTTCTCTGTGCCTGCAGGCCGTTGCCCTCATGCCAGTAACTAGATAACACACTCTATCAGAGATTTGAGAAAATCATTGGGAAAGCAGTGGGGCTGATAGTGGCATCAATCCTAACCTGACACCAGGCTGGGTCAACCATTTATCTCTCCACACCGCCTCTGGTCACAACAGCGGCCATCTTGCTCTGCTACATCCTTCTTTAATAACCTTGGCCACGTCTCTTTGCAGACTGAGAGGATAAGACGCCATGGCACTCATAGCGCCTCGCCTGATCTCCGCCGTTTTGTTTGCATTTTACCCCGTGAAAATCACATTACAAATACATTTACCATGTGTATTTCAGATCAACACAATTCCCCAACACAAGCACTAAGGCAGACAAGCAAACACACACAAAAAAGAGATGTGTCTAACAAGAGGGCCAAAGCACACAAACTCGTTAGCGTAGGAGTTAATGGTGACTCCACTGTCATTAATTCCCCATGGTGTTTGACTTAAATGCTTCTATATTGGTGGAGTGAGAGATTCCCAGAGGCCTCCTAGTGCTGAGATCATTGTTTTTCACTTACTAACAATGAACTTATGATCAGAGCGCTGCAAGGCTTTTAAAAAATGCCGTGCAGGATCATTACAGACCCTGTGTGTGTGTGTGTGTGTGTGTGTGTGTGTGTGTGTGTGTGTGTGTGTGTGATACCAATGAGGCCGGCAGAGCAGCAGTGTGTCCGAGGCTCATCTCAGTGCTCTGTGGCGCAGCCAGGATGAGAGTGGAGGTTAAATGGGGCGTCATCAATCTCAATGAAGTGCAATTATTTTCTCACTTATTAATCATTGCAGGCTAATAGCTAGTGGCAAAGCTGGGTCCGCCATTTGTCAAACTTAGCAGATTTCTGTAATTTTGTTTCCCCGTTTCCCTCTAATGTTTGTGTAGAGTTTGGCAGATATCTATGGAGGGCTGCAATAAGTCTGTGCCTCCAAGTATCTATCTCCTACCTGCATGGCAGAACTAACTGAACTTCTTGCTGTTTCTCCATGTGAGTGATTCTCTCCATTTCAGAGCTGAGTGACTATTTCATGGTCTGTGGCAGAGCAGAATAGAAAGCTTTATTTGCTGTGTGCAGCATGGATGGCCAATTGATGGTTAACTACACTCAAACCCTAACAAACTTCACGCATTACTCCATACTGTATAGATTGTTTGTATGTAATTCTACAGTTAACATGTGCATGCATATATTTTATTTTAGTTTGTATATATTCTGAGTGAAGAAAGAACCAAAATATTTTCCAGACAGAGCACTGCAATGCAACAGCACTGCTTATTTGGCACTTGACATTTATTAATAAAAAAAGCCATTATGTGCACTTTTATCTAAAAAAACTCCAGCTATCCCAGTAATGTCACATTGTGCTGAACACCCTCAAGTGTACTTCTACAAAAGATAGCACTAGAGTTCATAAAAATCGAGATTTTTAGCTGCTGTTACAGTGCTCTTTAAAGCAACACTAATCATTATCTTTTTAATAACAATGGATCGGACAAATTACCACTGCTACACAGACAATATGAAACTTTAGCTGTCCTTCCTGCCAGACGACCCCACTGTCTCGGTGCAGATCACATACTGTATCTCTGACATATCTGCACGGATGAAGCCTTGCCACCTTCAACTAAACCTCTCTAAGACTGAACTCTTGGCCATCCAAGCCAAGCAATCTATCCATCACAACATCAAACTAAATATCGGCACCTCAACCATCACTCCAACCTGGGTGGTGTGAAACTTGGGTGCATGACTGATAACCAACTGTCCTTCTCAGACCATGCTGCCGGTCGTGCCGCTTTGCTCTAAATTGCTCTGATTCCATATGCCTTAATAGCACTTACTACTATTTATTGCTGCTTTTACTAGGATCTATTGTTACTTTATTGATGCTTGTATGTTGTTCCTCAAATGCACTTTGCACTTTGCATAAAAGCATCTGGCAAATTAGCAAACAAACATTGTTTCACCGTTGGTATCCTGGAGAAGCCATTCCATGCATATATGGACTACCCAAGATACTCAAAGAAGGAGCCCCACTCAGGCCGATCATCAGCAGCATTATTAACTCGTTCACCTACAGCACTGCCAAACACATTTCTACCATCTTAGCTCCCTTGGTGGGAAACACTCCTCACCACATCCAAAACTCCATTGACTTTGTAAACAAAGTTCGAGGACTATAACTGGACCCAAATGAAACCATGGTATCCTATGACGTGATTTCTTTGTTCACCTGTATCCCGACCCTAGAAGCAGTAGAAACCATAAGGAAACAGCTAACACAAGACAACACCCTGGACAACAGAACTAGCCTCAGCCCTGACCAGATCTGCAAATTACTTGACCTCTGTCTAAACACCACCTATTTACAGTACAACAGAGGATTCTACAGACAGAAGCATGGCTGTGCCATGGGCTCACCAGTATCCCCAATTGTGGCGAACATCTACATGGAAGAAGTGGAGAGCAAAGCCCTCAACTCCTTCAGAGGAACAGCACCGAGCCACTGATAGAGATATGGGGACGACGCCTGGGTCAAAATTAAAAGCCAGGAAGTGCAAGCTTTCACAAAACACATCAACTCTGTGGACAGTAACATCAAGTTCACAGGAGAAGATGTTCACAACAAAGTTTGGCCTTCTTGGACCGCGCTGTACACATTGAAGAGGACAGGAGCCTGCAGATTGGTGTTTACAGAAAACCCACACACACAGACCAATACCTACTCTTCGATTCCCACCACCCACTGGAGCACAAGCTAGGGGTCATGAGAACACTGCACCACAGAGCAGAAAACATACCAACAAGCGCCCAAGCCAGAGAGAAGGAACAGAAACACCTGAAGGGGGCACTTACAGCCTGTGGATACCCTAAATGGACCTTTGTGAAAACAGCCACAAGATCCAGGAAGAACAAAACTACAGGGGATGAAGAGAAAAGAAGGTCAAACGCAACAATATTGTGATTCCATACGTGTCTGGAGTATTAGAGAAACTCAGTAGGATTTTCAACAAACACCACATCCCTGTGTTTTTTAAACCCAAGAAGATGCTGGTACACCCCAAAGACCGCACACCCAAACACAAGAAAAGCAATCTAGTGTATGCGGTCCAATGCAGTGAGGAATGCACAGACCTGCACACTGGGGAAACTAAACAACCACTACACAAACGCATGGCTCAACACAGAAGGGCCAACTCCTCAGGTCAAGACTCTGCAGTCTACTTACATCTGGAGGACAGAGGACGCTCGTTTGAGGACCACCAGGTGCACATTTTAGACAGAGATGATGGATGGTTTGAAAGAGGTGTCAAGGAAGCCATCTACACCAGGGTTGAGAAGCCGTCATTGAACAGGGGAGGGGGTCTACGCCACCACTTATCCTCCACTTACAATGCTGTCCTTTCATCACTTCCCAGGAAACAACAAACGTAACCTATTGGCCTCAGGTGAAGATGCCAACGATGGTCGTTCAGTCTTGGCCTCAGGTAGTCCTAATGACAATAACGACTGTCGTTACAACAACCAGGAACACTAACGAACCAGCGGTATCGACAATCCTGGCAAACGACCCCACTGAGGTTAAATAGCTTAGTTTCCTTTGGATGAGGGATGAAATGTCTTCTAGTATCTTCAACCAAGTCCAGTTGCCCTTGACTTTAACCTTCTTTGGATACCTTCTTCACTACATTTAAGCAGCCAATACTGTACTTTTTACTCTGCTACATGTATCTGAAAGCTATAGTTATTTGTCAGTCCAAACAGGGACATATAAAGAATACAGTTAAAATGACAATAGTCAGACAAAACATAAACACAAACATCTAAAATATTTTTTACATACAAACTGTGGCTTTGTCATCTTGTAAACTATAATACATTGTCAGCAGGGGCATGTCCAGGTACTGGGCTGGGGTGGCATGGGCCACCCCTGAAACCTGATTGGCCACAACATTTTTAATTGTTGCTAGGCAACCACAGAACCATCTGTCTTTTGTCCAACCCTTATTTTTCTGTGTAGTAAACTAATAGATTTGTACATTTTTATTTAATTACATATATATTAGGGTTGTCACAACCCCAGAAAGATAGTACTCAATACCAATACCAGTGGAATTCCATGATTCTCAATACAAAATTTTATACTATGTTACAAAATAATAAATCCCATGTACTTCAACATATACTCCTTTAATAAATTATCAGGTATAGCTCAATTAAAAAAAAGAGTGCAAGCAGTCATTTACTAAGATGGTGACAGACCAATAGTCTGGAAATATTTATTTAAAACAACTGAAAGATTGAACAATATGGATGGCAGCCTGCAACTACAAGCTATGTTTATATATGTTAGCCTAAACACACTAGTCTTTAGCATTTAGCCATTGCAACTGCATATGTTACATAATTGGCCAAGTAACACAGCAATGCCAGCTGTCTCAAACAAAAATAATGCTAACGCAAAGTACTTCTATACACAATTCTTACTGTTTTTCTTTTCCACGAGTCGAGACGGAGCTGTCGCTGCAGCTGCACTTGTTGCCATCTTTTGGGTGTTGGAACCCTGTTACCTATGGTACTTTCGGTACCTAGAAAAAAAAGTACCAACATGTTTTCAGAATTTTGGTATGAACTTGGTACCAAAGAATTGGTTCTTGTGACATCCCTTAAAGATTTATAAATAACTGGGAGTAAGGTTACCACCAGCTGGTTCAGGAGCTTTGCCTGGACGATGGTTGGTTTAAGGCTTATTTTAGGATGAGGGACAGATTGACAATATGCTGGGTTTAGGCCTAGCCTACTGTTTATCTAACAGCCTAAAAATCTGACAGGTGATGTGAGACCTACTTTGTAACTAGCTAAGCATTACAATGATAATGATGATGAAAGTGAGCTTACAATGAATGAAAACAACTTACCGAAATCTTTCAAATCATGCGAACAACAGTTGGTAAAGTTTGATAGCTCCAGGTATCCAGCAACAGCCACCACTAGTTTTTCCTCCACTATAGTCATACAATTTAACAATTGGAAGAAAACACACGCCAATTTCTGGCACTATTTGCTCTGAATGGAAGTTGTTTCAATTGGACGCACTCAGAGCACTGCTGCAACAATATGAGGCGCGCAGGGCACATTAGCAGCACGCAATACACTTACTGCCTATGCATCGGAAAAAATAAATCTCACTGCAAAAAAAGTGCTCTGTCTGATCGATACTCAAGTCTGCTCCCCACAATAAAAGTCTGGACACGTCACTGACTGTCAGTGGTAGAGGAAGTACTCAGATCTTTTACTTAAGTAAAAGCAGTAATACCACAGTGTAAAAAGACTGCATTAAAAATTACACTTAAGTACTGATAAAAGTACTTAATCAAAATGTACTTTGAGAATCCAAAGTAAAAGTATTTGTTATGCAGAATGGCCCATTTCAGAATAATGAATATTATATTATTGGGTTATAATGATGCATTATGTGCAAGCATCACTTTAATGTTGCACCTGGCAAAGGTGAGGCTGATTTCAACTGATTACTGGGTAGCTTACAGTAATTTATAATAAACATTTATTAATTAGTTGATTATATTTTAATAATCTAAATCTGAGAAGTAACTAAAGTTATCAAATAAATGCATAATGGAGTAAAATGTGTAAATTAGTACAAGTATCTCAAACTTTTTTATACTTTAACAATATATTGCTGATATGCCTTCCACACTATTTTGAATGCTGGACTTGCTTGTAAAGGAGTATCTTCACATTGCAGTATTTTAAATTTTACTTTAGAAAAGGATCTGGTAATTACGGCCAAAATAATGAAAATCAGGATATCACAAAAATATTTTTCTGCAGCATAGTTCAGTGCAAGCACCTTGTCAGTATTCTTTGCATTCCTGTAATACCTTGAGTATGAAAAGCTCAGGATCACAGCTTCAGGAGAAACTCTGCTTGCCTGCATCCGGAATCTCTGTGACGCTCGACTGCAGGATGCAGAGGCTTAGCAGCTCAGCGGCTCTGTGTGCCAGATGTGTCAAGCAGTGTTGGCTGGAAGAGGCAAGACAACTGTTAGTATTTATAGTTGTCATTTTCCTGTTATTGTTACACTGTTTTAATGTCTTAATTGTTTGTTATTAATGCAATAAACTAAAAAAAAAAATCATCTCTCTGCAACATTTGTTTTTCATCAGTACATGCAGATGTCAGACAAATGTGTTTGTGTGTGAATGAGAAAGGAAGGAAGGAAGGAAGGAAGGAAGGAGGGAAGATGGGAATAAAATATAGATTTTCATATAAAAAATGTTCACTGTCTTCAATAATGTGTAATTTGACTCACAATAATGTAACCTCAGTGGTCACAGCACTTGATTTAAGTGTCAAGAAGAGACACAGTGATGCATAAATAGTTTGGGTGAGATTATCTGTAATTTGCCCACAGCTAAATGATGAAGAACAGACAGATGTTTAGGCAGTGAAATAACACAGCCCTGTGGATGTGTTTGGTTTGGCAGCCTTGTCATTGAGAGCTGGTGGTACCGAAAACTGTGTATGTGTGGTCAATGTGGGACATCTAGTGGTAAAAAAGGGAAAATTATGTAATTGTAATGTAATTATTTATCTATTTGTCTGTCAATTTATTGGTTTAATAGTCTTTTTACCTATATTGTTGTACCTTTATTCAATCAGATTATCTTTTCTCCAAAGGTAATAAACTATTCTAAAACACTATCCTGTTTTATGTCCAGTATAACTGCTGTCTAACTGAAAAACCATTGTATTTACAGCAACTATATACAGTACAGAATAGCTGTGATGTAATACTATTAGGTATTTGTAGTACAGTTAGGCTACCCTACACTTTAGAGCTGCTGTGGCCCACCTGTTCACAGCAGCAACAGATGGATGAATATAATAAACAAAAACAAATTTCTGCTTTTAAAGATTCTCTGTAATTTTTGTAAACTTATCCACAGATGTTTGAAACATATATGTTGAGGTATTCCTGATTGTCATCTCTTAATAACTTTCTATTTGGAACAATATTGAAGATTCAGGCTTGCACAGATGAGCTCATGAATGTTGTAGTTATTCTGCTCCTGAAATATGATGTTGTGATAATGAAATGTGATACCTTTGAGGCAAGTCTTTTTGACTCTGCCAGCACATCTTGTGATTGTATGAATATTTCTTTGTGTTTTAATCTTTTATCTGACTATTTATATTTTACCTGCTATTGTATGCAAAAAAAACACTACAGAAATTGTAACTTAAGAGATAGATGTGATACATTTTTTATATTGTACAGTTTATATCCTCTCTTTTCCTTATGAGTAAACAAACAGGTCGCAAATTAATTGATATCGGGCCTGGGTCTTGTAGGTTTATACTTAATAGGAAAGAAAATAGACACTTAACAGTGGAGATGCAATGACTGAATCCTAGTGGAGGAACTGTCAAACAAGTAATCATTAAAATAAATAAAGTAATTGGAAATTATTGTAATTTACAAACAAAGACATAACAAACATCTTGTTTCTGAGGAAAATTTAAAGCAATATTCTTTGTTGACTAGTTTGGCTTCATGGAATTAGTTGTCCGTTTAGCATATTTTTGATTGATTCAAAATCCAGCTCTTTTTAAATCCTCTTTTTAAACTTTTTTATTAAAATTTATTGACTAGAAATAAAATCAATTTTAGCATGTTCTTAATAAAACAATCATAGATTTATTTTTCCTAGTCATTTTTATGTCTAAAACTAAGATACGATTGATATGATTAGAGTTACAAATAAATAAAACAAAAGAAAACCTTGGAAATGCGCTTACAGTTTGCTGGGCTCCGTGACAGGTTTCACTCTCAGGACACCCTCCTGGGAACAAAAGGCAGCCTGCACCCCGTCTCTTTTCCACAGTCGGCCTTGAACCAGTCCCCTGCTGACCCCTGCCCCTTGGCTTTTTTAATCCTTAATAGAAAAACTGTTGATCCACACATGGGTATAAAACACATTGTCTGAATGAATGATAGATAGATAGATAGATATTAATTTAGACTACTATGTTACTATACATACAGTAAAAACGCTTATATGTCTCTCTAAATATAACTGTGCAAATGAGTATCGAATGTGCATTGTCATTCAGAAGAAGTCTCCTCTCCCTGTCCAGAGGGGAGTCATTGTGTATTTAATGTATAGTGCCCTAAGTATCTGTACCTGCGTCTATGTCACTGAGGTTTCCTCCTTGGGCTAAATTCAGGAGATTTTAAAGCATCATATTATATTCCAGTTTCCCTGTGGTTCTTTTATTGCTTTGACTCTGATTGGTTTGACACTGCTATGACTTGAAGTTAGGACAAACAACTGTGAAAAGTTTGAGCTCTTGAATCCATGAAGTAGTTTGGTACATTTTCAAGAAGTGGTGTCAGGTGTGTGTCGCCAAAATCAGTCCTATCTCATACAAAGCAATGACACTGACACAACATGGCTTTCATGGCTAAAAGATTCAATGGGTAAAGATTCAGTGCAATCGGTGAGAAAATGTTTCACACCTGCCCACAAAGATGTGTACACTAAATTCCCTGATCCTGAGAGAGGAAATCACTCTTTCTTCATTAAATCCATAAATATCTGTTGAATGTTTAAAAAGTGATGATCCTATGTAATGTTAAGTCCTTACCACCAGGGGTCCGCCTTATGACAGGAAATAAAAGCGCCACCACGTTACAACATGTAACAATTTTGAAAGAAGGCAACCAGCCTCTATATGAATTCATTATATCAGTTCTAAGTGAAGGATATCTGTCAAAGAGAATTACAAAACCAAACTTTAGTCTACCGCTGAGTATCTAGGCTGCTTCTGCAGACTGGATAATAGCAGCTGAAATTGTTGCCCTGAACTTTTTACAGATGAATTATTATCCCCGTCTAAATTTACTTTGCAATCAGTTTGGATCACACAAGATTAATGGTCGAGACAATGCAATTAGTTTGCAACATTATGAAATGCTTCCAGCTCACAGCCCTGAAGAAAACACTGCAACCATTATGGAGATTAATGTTCAATAAAGGGCTACTTGTCTGAACTTAAGTTCCCCTTCTTCACATTCTGCCAACCCGTTTAACATATTAGCTGATTAATTGGTGACCTAACAGTTTCTAATTTGGACTAATTAGCAGCGAGGCCGAATGGATATGTTGTCACATAAAATTAAATATTGCTGAGTGGGGTATTTTTTGGTGGTGTTTTCAGCCAACTGCTCCTTTCCTTAAGTCCATAACTCCACATACGGCCATCGTGTCTCCGCCCAGCTACACCAGGCTCTAACTGTTGTCTCTCCGCCCAGTGCTTGAGTCTGGACTGGAAGATAACAGTGGAAACTGGGCAGGGTCTGCGTGCACATGAAAGCAGCCTCGATGCGTGCGCAGTGTGTGCTTTCTCTTTTGAGAGATGTGAAGGCTTGCGAGGCTTCAACTGCGCTTAACTTCGACCTGCTGTGACATTCCTGGTTCTTGTGGGCGTTGCTGCGCTGATAGCTACCGGCGACGTTGCTCAACTTTGGGAAGTAGGGGGATCTGTTGTGAGAGCTGAGAAGGAATGCGCGGGGTTGATGTCTATTCCTCTTGTGTTTTTTCTCCTCGGAACAGTGTCGTGACTTCGGTCAACCTGCGGTGTCCATCAGCGTTATCGGATCTACGCGTGCACACGACAGTAGCCTGACCATGCAGCATGATGTGCAGTGGCAGCTCTGCCTCTAACAGCCCGCTTACCTGTGTTGAAACGGAGCAAGGTTGCACGTCGTGCCTGTGCAGAAGCTCCATGAGTAGCCGCCGCGCGTAACGCTGGCTCTCCATGGAGGACTGCTGGAGAAGCCGCTCATCACAACCCACACTTTAAGACAGTGAGTGACACTTGAAACAAGATGAGTCAGGACCAGGACGGGATATCTTTACCGGTGCCTTGCTTCGGTGCTCGTCCCGGCACAGAGAACATCTGCGGTGAAAGCTCGAGCAGCAGCGGTGGTGGTGTTGGCGGCTCCTTCGGGATCCCCGCAGCTGGGACTTTCTGGCACGACTCGGTGGTCGGCGGCGGGGGGCTCAGCCCGAGCGCCGACAGTTGTCCGATGGACGGCGGGGGCTTGCTCTCCACCGGGAAGTCGTGCAAAAGCAGACCTGTGACGGTGGCCTATGTGGTAAACGGTGAGGCGAGCCAGCAGAATAACGCTGAGAGCATGGCCCTGCAGTGTCTGAAGGACGCCTGCGATACGGTGGGCAGCAAGCTGGAGACGGTGAACTTTGGTAAACTGGACTTCGGGGAGACCACGGTGCTGGACCGCTTCTACAATGCAGGTTAGTCAAATGAAGGCAGCCTAATCCAAACCAGCTTCCGTTAAATTCAGAAATACAAGTGACTTGACAGGATATAAATATTTTGTGATAACTTATTCTGGTCAAACTTTATCCTAAATGCTGCCTATTGGGATTTCTAGATCAATCCTGCAAATGCAGTACATATGATTTAACCTAGTCTTTGCTATCCATTATAATGATTAAACTATAAGATCAGGAGTTCTTAGTGAGAGTCAGTCACCCCTGAAGTGCGATTACTTAATACTTTCTGGGTTTAAAGGCCACGCCCTCACCTCTTGGAAGCTGTCAGCCTGCAGGACAGGTTGCCCTGAGCTTCCTAAACACAATACACAGCTCTGCCTGTCGGGACTTGAGGCTGCATGCAGCCTCCATGTCACAGTTATTTCCACACTGTTCTGAGCAAAGCTGGAACTCATTGAGCAAAAAGAGTAGCATTGGGGTTGTTTAATTTGCTGCACAAATGTGGGGGTGATTGTTATACCCACCCCCACCCCGCAGTTTCCCCCTTCCATTGTGCACTTCCAGTATTGTGTCATGTGTGAGTGTCATGGGTTGAGCCATGAGGCTGAACTTTCCACTGGAATCTACGAGCAGAGAAACAAACTTGAACCCTCTGACTGAAAGAACTTTCTCCCCTCTTATTAATACTGTGTAGCAGTTGGCTGGAAATGTTCAGTTGTATAATAAACATAGAAAAAAGGGTCTGGAAAGTAGACCTTTCAGGGGTTGTGGTCAAATAAAAAGCAGCTGTAAAGGACTGTCCAGCCAGCTTGTGGAGGTGCCAGGAACAGCAGCCAGATATTTGGTATCAGGATTTTGTTCAACAGATACTGCAGAAATAAAACGACACCACCCAGATACCTTTGACTGCTGCTAAGAACCACAACGTCTTTTAAAGACCAACACCTTAGCAAGTACCACAATATAAGTGCCATGGATGAAAGTAGGTTTCATCAAACCTGATGAATTCACTGGGTCAAACTCTAAATGCAACTTTATTAGCACAGTGCTAAAAAAGCGAAAATGTGAAAACTTGTGGTCTATTTTTTTTCTGAGCATGTCTAAGGCCTAAAAATGCAAGGACGGCTATTGAAAGTAAATTCTGGGTGTTCAAAATACAGAACAGGCATAAATAGTTTTGACAGGGATGGAATTTACCAGGAAGCCTTGTCTTATTGTGATGTGGAGGTCATATGACTTCTAGGTAAACAAGGTGTAACTTTAATATATAGTTTATTGATGCTTTACCGTTCAGTTGCCAAGGTATGAACAATCTCTCTGCCTGTTGAATAATTTATTAAGTCAATAATATGAAGGCAAAGAGTTTCTCACGTCCTAATAAACCATCAGGTGTGCAGTCATAAGTGGAAGTAACCATCAATCATTGGTAATAAAATCGAGACTGAAGTTAGAAATGGTAAAAACATACTAATAATCTTTAACTGATCTATAAAGATCTATGAAGTTGAACCTCGATGTCTACACACTTTGCAAGCTCGTTTGACTATTTTGAGAATCAATTGTTTCATTCTGTTTTCAGGCAAAAATGTCAGCTTTTAAAATGCAAAAACTTACAGTTGTCCTCTTTCATTTGTGATAGTACACTGAATCTCTTAAGATATCATAAAATAATCATGAGTTACAGCCCTAGCCCAGTTTTAACCCCAGATGCCTTTGAACTCCAAATCACTAATAAGTTCTTATTGGGAATGTAAATTTTTTTTTATAGAAATTACCTCGCTGAGATAAAAAGTAAAGGAGTGTCCTGGCAAAGACAGAAGCCCCACATGGCAAGAAGCAGACTGAATGTTTTTCCTGTGTTGGAAAGTAGTGGAAAATATTTACAAGAATGTCCAAATGGGGTGACTGATGCTAAACTTCAATGCAGTAAATCTATTTTACCAACATCAGTCCATCAGAGTCCTTCATGGCAAAAGCGTAACAGTGAAACCAGATTACATAGTTCTTCTTCAACACAAAACAGACTTACTGTTTGTCATAACATCATGTCATTAGTTGTACAAACACGTCAAGTTCTCTTTTCATTTTTTCATTTGGTCGTCTTCCTCTGAACTACTTTGGAATTTTCTCATAATTCACATGGGAGGGCAGAGGCATTTTTCCCAGAAGCATGCTGCTGTATTTGCTGCTCAAACACACACTGCATCATCCTCTTCCTGCACAACTGTGTACCAGAGATGAAAGCCAGACAACATAAACCTTTAAACAATGAGCCTAGAGACAGACTGGAACCTTGTGGGTCCCTGTTAATTTTGGAAAGATGATTTTCCAGATTCCAATACAATGAGAAGCTCTTCCTAACTGTTCTTAAATGTCATCCTCACATGAGACTGTTGACAAAGAGGACATTTGGCTGAGAGATTGCAGAGGCTGATTGCCTAACCTTTGGTCACTGGAAATGTTAGGATAAATGTAGATGCAAACTTTTTGCCAACAATAATTACTAACCACATCTAATCATTTGGGGTTTTGTTCATTACAGCCCAGCTATTGATAACAGATTCTGTTCCTGGAGTCAGACTTCAAATCTGAAGCCATATTGATCATGTGTAGTTTAAAGCATCAGAGAGTGTAGCCTGCATTATTTCATGTCGTATTTGAGTTGTGTAACATAAAATAAGAAGAGTTTTCTGCCCATGTTATCCCTGCCTGTAGAACTTAATAAATGTAGTATAGTTGCAGCAACAGAGTCTAATGATGATAACCAGTGAAACTGTTAACCCACCTGCAGACAATTCATGTCTGCTGCGGTGAGTGGTTCCTTCCAGTGGTCTCAAAGAGAAGCTTTTTTTCTAGGTCACAAAAAGAAGCAGCTAAGATCGATACACTTGCAAGCATCTGTCATAGCTGCTGTTTCAGTCCTCCGTCTCTCGCATGACTCATTGGAAGTCATTGTTTTAATTTATCTAAGCCTAACTGTAGAACCCCAGAACTAACCACTGTTCACCATTGAATGCACCTGTTTACTGACAATGAACTGCAGAGGGAGAATTAACTGCTGTCAGCTTGGTCTGTTAGCTGGATTCAGGATTTCCCTTGCGCCTCTTAAATCTTGTCAAGGAGTTCAAATGTCTTGTGAATGGCAGTTTTCCTAGTTGGAGAAACAACCAAACCAATCAACAGCCTTTGTAGGTAGGAAAAATGATCATGACATAATCTAATGGCGCCGGTCCCAGAATCTAAATTAGTATCCAAACAAAAAAGGCAACACATTTGGATGTAATTGAAGCTAGCTGAGGCTATTTGAAAATTTCTGACTTAAAGCTCTGAAATCAGTTTTTCTTCTTCAGATAAAAAGAAAAAAAGTGATTTAATTGGCCGTCTGGTACTAGAGACAATGAGAGGAGGATATAGTGCTTACAATTGTTTCTCCCTTAATCACCTTAATAGAGTAAGTAAAATAAGATGAGAGATTTGGATTGATGGCTGTGTGTACTGCAACAGTAGTACTACATAGTTAAGTAGGCTTGCTTGATATGTTTCAAATGATATATTACTTCTATCACCGTGACAATTGCCAAGCTTGCTGCTCCTAGCCACCACTGCAACTTTTGTATAATCTGTAAACAACATAAAAATACGGATTTATCTGTCAGGGATCCTCCTGAACAGAAAGCAGCTCATAAGAAGATAATGTCAGACTGAATAAAGGAGTGAAAACCAAATTAAAATTCATACTGATGCATATTGACATTCTGATGCTGCTAGAAACAGATCCAACGAAAGCAATAATAAACTACTTTCTCCTGAAATATTAAAAAGGACATTCATGATGAGATGGTTGCTAATGCACTGGATTTCTTTATGAAACATAGTTGAATGATGGAAACCAACACATGTAATTTGTGTGGCATTGAATA